TCAACTGTTCAAAGAACTACTTCGGTAAGTGAAATGCACCCTCGAGGTGCTACCAATGTGGGAATACGGGTCACATGAAGGCCAATTGCCCACAATTGGGGAGAGAAAGGGACCTCGGGGGCCGGAGGAGGAACCATGACAGGAAAGAACCATACAGGACCGTCACACGGCAGCACGGGAAGAGGTGGCGCATCCATAAGCAACGCCGCGTCCCTCAATCAAGGCGGGGCCCAAGCGAGGGTCTATGCCATGACCGAAGTGGATGCACGTGCTAACCCGGACCCGGTTGTGGGTAATTCCTTACATTCATGTCGTTAACCCTTTTGTAAGCAATACAAATGTTTTAAGGTTGCCAGTTTACAACCCCGACCATCTAGGCTGGTTGGAATTAAAAGAAGGGAGGTATCCTCGCCCTGGGTGAACGTCGCCCGGCGTTGACGAAAGCCGCCCGGCTTTCGTCTGGATTTATTTAAAAAAATTCTACGGCGCTGAACGTCGACCGGCTTTTGTAATTGAAAAACTGGGATTTTTTTTCGCTGCTGAACATCGGCCGAGTTTCATGGAAACCGGTCTGCTTTTGGAAATGTTTTTTTTGAATTAAAGTTCGGCAGTGGATACCGGCCGGCTTCCATGAAGACTAGCCGGCTTTTGAGAGGCTTGCAAAATCCTTCACGAACGAAACCCGACCGGCTTTTGCAAAGCCCGAGCGGCTTTCGAAATTAAAATCCGGAATTAAACTACTGCGATAAAGACCGGCTGGCTTTGGTAAAGCCCGGCCGGCTTACATAGCGACCATTTCGTGTCCATGCCTAAGGCATGAAAAGCGGCCGACTTTCATTAAAAGCGGCCGGCTTCACCCGGTCCAATCGGAAGGTGATTCCGAAGTATGAAAACCAGGGAATTTTAATAGAACGTCGAATGGTCTTCATCCGGACCATGATCGCTATACTCTACGACCCAAGAAACGAGTCTATTAGGTAGAGGGAGTGTCTTACATTGCTTATTAATGTAGGAACACTAAGTATTAACGGGAGAGATGCAAGAATCCTGATTGATACGGGGGCGCAACGATCATTTGTGAGTGAGTCGTTCGCCAAGGGGTTCAACGAACCACTAATACCGATGAATCAAACTCTATTGGTTTCCACCTCTGGGGGATGACATCAAAAGAGATAGCCAGTATCCATTGTGTGAGGTGGAAGTAAAGGGCCAAAGCTTGACGTGTAATTTTGTACCGCTGGGTATGATTGTGTTCGATGCAATCCTCAGGATGGATTGGCTCGAGAAGCATCATGCTAGGGTTGATTGATACACGAAGGTCCTTGACCTCGAAAGCGGGGAAGGGTTGATCCTACGCTTTGAGGGAGATAGAGGCAAAGCAACCAGTTGTGTCATATCTGCCACGAGGGCACGGAAGATGATGAAAAAGGGATGCCACGCCTACCTTGCTTACGTGGTGGACGAGTCAAAGAAGGAAGTTGACATCAACAATGTACGTATCGTGTGTAAGTATCTGGACGTCTTCCCCAAAGACTTACTGGGCCTTCGACCCGATAGGGAGATTGAATTCGTGATTGAAGTAGAGCTGGGAACCAAACCCATTTCGATTCCTCCTTATCGAATGGCACCGGAGTTAAAAGTCCAATTACAAGAACTACTGGACAGTGGGTTTATTAGACCTAGTCATTCACCGTGGGGAGCACCGGTATTTTTTGTGAAAAAGAAAGATGGTACACTGAGAATGTGTATTGACCACCGACAGTTGAACAAGGTCACAATCAAGAATAAGTATCATTTACCGAGGATTGACGACTTGTTTGACCAACTTTGGGGGGACATGGTGTTCTCTAAGATTGATTTAAGGTCGGGTTATCATCAGTTGAAGATCAAGGAGAGTGACATACCTAAGAGTGCCTTCCGCACTAGATATGATCACTACGAGTTTCTTGTGATGTCATTTGGTTTAACCAATGCACCAGCGGCATTCATGGACTTGATGAACCATGTGTTTAGTGAGTACCTAGATCAGTTTGTGATTGTATTCATTGACGATATCTTGATATACTCGAAGGACGAAGAAGAACATGAGCATCACCTGAGACTTGTGCTTGAAAGGCTAAGGGAGAAGCAACTCTTCTCCAAGTTCTCTAAATGTGAATTTTGGCTTAAAGAGATTGGCGTTCTCGGGCATGTCATATCTGGATCAGGCGTTGCGGTGGACAATGCAAAGATAGAAGCTATCATGGATTGGGAACGATCCAAAAATGTGAAAGAGATACATAGCTTCCTTAGCTTAGCGGGTTACTATCGTAAATTTGTGGAGAAATTCTCTGTGTTGGCGTCACCACTAAAGAATCTCACGAAGAAGGGGGTTAAGTTCGTATGGGACGACAAATGTGAGAAAGGGTTCCTTGAACTAAAGAAACGACTTACTGAGGCACCGGTTCTTGCGATACCCATATAAGATATAAGGTATGATATCTATAGTGATGCTAGCATCCAAGGGCTTGGATGTGTACTGATGCAAAGGGGTAAGGTGATTGCCTATGCTTCTAGGTAATTGAGGAAACACGAGGTCAACTACCCTACCCATGACCTGGAGTTGGGAGCGGTAGTGTTTGCACTGAAGATTTGGAGGCATTATCTCTACGGGGAGACATGTCACATCTACACCGATCATAAGAGCTTGAAGTATGTATTCACTCAGAAGGAGTTGAATATGAGGCAAAGGAGATGGATAGAGTTGATCAAGGACTATGACTTGATCATCGACTATCACCCCGGAAAGGCCAATGTAGTGGCTGATGCACTAAGTAGGAGGAGTACGTCGGGGACGTTACTCACATGCCTGCGCGCATTGCTGGCACATGTGGAGGTATCCTCGAGCGGGGTACTCATAGCTAGATTTGAGGTCAGACCTATGTTGCTGAGTGAGATCAGCAGAGGTCAGGCCATTGATGAAGAATGTCAGAAGGTCCGTGAACGGATCCTTGCGGGGCCCGTTGAGAATTTTCGGGTACGTGATGATGGTATTTTATTCTTCAAAGATCGTGTATGCGTACCATAGAATGGGGAGCTCCGGAAATCCATACTTGAGGAGGCTCATTCTTCAGCCTATGCTATGCATCCAGGAGGTACAAAGATGTACTGAGACCTGAAGGAAAGTTATTGGTGGTCAGGTATGAAGAGGGACATTCCAGAGTATGTGAGTCGATGTCTTACTTGTCAGCAAGTTCAGGCGGAGCATCAGCACCCGGCGGGGCTTCTACAGCCACTTACCATTCCAGAGTATGTGACCATGGATTTTGTGGTAGGATTACCACGAACTGTGAACAATTACGATGCGGTATGGGTGGTGGTTGACAGGCTTAGTAAGAGTGCATATTTCTTGCCTATTAACATCACTTATCCTCTTGAGTGATTGGCCAAGTTATACACTGAGGAGATCGTGAGATTGCATGGGGTCCTGATATCCATTGTGTCGGATAGAGATTCATGATTCACGTCAAGGTTTTGGCCAAAGTTTCAAGCATCCCTGGGAACTAAACTGAAGTTTAGCACAACATTTCACCCACAGATGGATGGACAATCCGAGTGGGTGATACAAATTTTGGAAGACATGCTTAGGGCACGTGCTTTGGAGTTCCAAGGGAGTTGGGACAAACACTTGGCTCTTGTGTAGTTTGCCTATAACAACAGTTATCAGGCGAGTATTGGCATGCCTCCGTACGAGGCATTGTATGGAAGGAAATGCAGAACACCATTGTGTTGGGACGAGGTTGGCAAGGCCAAGCTCGAAGGTATAGAACTTGTTGAAATCACCAAGGCTAAGGTGAAGGTCATTCGGGATAGTCTTAAGGCTTCACAAGATCAGCAGAAGAGCTATGCCGACAAACGATGTAGGCCGTTGGAATTTGCAGTTGGTGATGAGGTATTCTTGAGGATTTCTCCTTGGAAAGGTATCATCCGATTCATATCGAGGGGTAAGCTTAACCCCCGATACATTGGTCCGTTCGAGATCCTTGAAAGGATTGGAGCCGTAGCGTACCGTCTCAAGTTATCACCTGAACTTGAGAAGATTCATGATGTGTTCCATGTATCGATGCTCAAGAAGTATGTACGAGATTTGTCACATATTCTTGAGAGACCACCGGTAAAGATCCGAGAGGACTTACAATATGCGGTAGAACCGGTAAAGATAGTGGGCCAACACGTAAAGAAGCTTAGGAACAAGGAGATTCCTATGGTAAAGGTACTTTGGCGGAGCGATCGAGTCGAAGAAGAAACCTGGGAGACCGAGGTCTCAATAAGGGAGCAATACCCGTTGATTTCGGGGACGAAATCCCAAATAAGGGGGGGTGAACTTGTAACACCATACCCAAGTATATCTACTTTTTAGTAAAATCATGTAATAAACCTTGAGGAATGAATTATGAGTTTACGAGGTTGTAAATTTTTGTTATAACTTTTTGCGTGGGGCCCACATCAGGAGCGGGGAACACCCAAAAATTTATGGAACCACATATTATATTCATCTTGGTCTAGATAATATTTATATGGTGGTAGATATTTTATTTGGGCCACGGTATGGCATGGAGTTGACTGGTTGGTCAAACGAGGTCCAATTACCAGTATCGGTAATTTATCGGATAGCAGCCCGAAATGAATTTTGGAGACTTCAAAATTAAAGTTGTGGAATGTATATTCATATAAAAAGTCCATAATGATGGGGAACACTTAATATATTTTATTTGACCCGATAAAATAAAATATAGTTAAAAGAGTTCGGAAAATACAACTTTCGGGACCGATTGTACACATCGGGACACAAAGGGATGACCTCCCACAAGAGTGGGGGGCCACCCCACGTTTTTGGGTGCTGATAATGTCAAGGGAGGTTGTAAATTATGGGTAAGGTGGACTGAGGGTGATGTATTAGGTGAGAAAGGACAAAGGGTGGACCTCCATCTCACTCATTTGTCCAATTGAGACAAAAACCATCCATCTCCGCTCACCAAGAGAGGAAGAAAACCTCTGCAAACTATTTCCTCCATATCCAAAAACATAGCTCGAGCAATAGAGGTCCAAGGAGGAAGATTAAAGAAGGAAAAAGTTACGAATCATGTGAAGGATTAAGGTAAGGACCTTTTAATAACTTTCCCCCTATTTTTTTTTATCTACCATATGACATATAGCATATGAGGAACCCGATATGTGTGTCTACATATTTGGAAATGTACGAGAAAGGGTTGGAAGGTGGTTCTAAGTCCAAGAACGGACTTAGAAACCAAAACGACCAGTTTACCGGAAAATAACCTTTTTGAGGTTTTTTGTATTAATATGGGTTTTGTGATGATTAAACCATGTTAGGAGCTTAAGTAAAGTGTTTCTAGAGTTCGCCGGAGTTCAACCGAGGAGCGTAGAACACGCTAAAGCTCATTTAAGGTGAGTGGACGGCTTAATGTCTTATAACTTTTGGGTTATTAATGAGATTTTTTTTACCCCGGAAGGCAAACCATCAAAATCAGTGGGGTAAATGTTGGGGGACATTTACCGGTATTTTATTAAAAACAAGAAGGGTTATTGATGAGATTACCTAATTAAATGTTATATACATTCAAAATGATGTTTAAGGGATATTTAAACATGTGATGTGCCAAAATGATTAAACTTGAATGAAATGAATTACTTGAATATACATGAAGTATGGTATGAGTACTTTTTGTGAAAATGTATGCTTGACTTGTAAGTGAAAGAAGCATGACAATTAATATTATTAACTTGATACGCATGGTGATTAAGTTGGTTGATAAGCACAATAATTACTTATGTTTTACATAAGTGATTATAATTATCTGTACAAAAATTAAAGCAAAAACAGGTAAATATTCCTGAATGAGCGGAAACATGCAATGCACCTTGGAACAGCAAAAATATGGTCAAAAGCAAAAAGGGGTCGAAAACCAGCACTTCTGGATAAATTTCGGGCATCAAAAGAGAAAAAAGAAGCTAAAAACACATTTGGGCGCAGGAACCGGCGCCGGTCATCCTACATCTGGCGTTGGTCGTTTGTTTTTTTCCCCAAAAGCGCCTGTTTCCAACCGGCGCGGAGCGACCGGTGCATTTTTGCACACGACCGGCGCCGGACACCTTATAACCGGCGCCGATTGTCCCGATTTCTGCTACAAACATAGCTACGTGCAAAAGATTTCTTGATGGGAAACTTCATCTTCTCCATATTTGATCAGATATCTCCTCCACACCTGCTTGTTGGGCTTGAATAGACTAAAAGATGTCATTCTGTAGCCTATATAAAGCCCTCAATTCATCATACAAATACATTCCATTCCATAGATTAATTCTTAGCTTTTATATTTTTGTTCTTGGTATTTTCTTCAAGTTCTTGAGGAGGGAAGTTCATCCTCCGAAATCATTGGTGTTTAGGTATTATTTCCTTTGTAATTTCATGTTCCATTACATTTATTATTGTATTGTGATTAATATGAGCATTAGAGGCTAAATTCTTAGTTAAGGCTAGGGATGAACTTCTATGCTCACTAGGTGTTTGATAAAAGTTCTAAACCAATAAATTGTGATTTATCCTTTATATATTGATTGTTTATGACTATGGTGTACAACATAGAAGTATGTTAAATTTAGTTTATACTTGCAATTAACTTTGAAGTCTAAACTATGAACATTAAAGGATAAACATATATAGTACCGAGAATAGAAATATATCCGGTCTTATATGATACGGGTGTGATGTCTTGATATTCAATGGGGTTTTCGGTAGATGAATGTAAGCCGTAACGGGACTTACACGTAACGAAAACCACGCTCTCGCTGCCTTAACCGGAGTTGAGAATATATTAGCGACATCGTATTCATAATTATTGGTAAAGAACTAATATTCAACCCTATTAAAGCATTTAAGTGATTCCCGAAGCTTTAGTTGTTGTTATCATTTATCTTGAACTCAAAGTTAGTTAACGATTATCTTGTTGAACAAAAATTGAAAAAACCAAAAATATAAAACACAAATCAAAATCCCTGCACTTTATTCAATTCTTCATTTAAAGTTATCTACTCTCGGACTTGAATTAAACAACGTTTCCTTGTGGATTCGACCCGGTATTTTACCGGAATTTATTACTATATCGGCACTTGTACACTTGCAACTTTAGCCCGATCAAGTTTTTGGCGCCGTTGCCGGGGAAACGGTCTTGTTTAATAAAGTCCAAAACAATAAAAAAAATCAATCAATCAAAAATCCTGAATTTTTCATTTCCCATTGCTTTTCACTTGTTCTTGTGGTATTTTTCATTTCATGTGTGTAGCCTATGCTTTGTGTTTGAATGCATTTGAGAAGTCAAGGTTCTACACATCTTGAACCTATTGATCTCGAAATAAAAAGAACTTTCAAACACAACCAGAGGGAAAGAAAAGAAGCAAAAATGATGCCAACACTCAATGAAAGGAAGAGACACGTGGTTGCCGCCACTCCCTCGTGTATTGTCCTAAGCGAGGCGGCAAGGGACTATGAAATGAAGAATAACTATTTCAATGCTATGCCTCAATTTCATGGTCATCCGGGGGAGAATCCACTTAACTTCATCACTGAGTTCTATGGATTCATCCAAAGAATTCCTAGGCATGGTCTCTCCGAGGATGATCTCAAACTCAAAAGCTTTCCCTACACTTTGAAAGGGGCGGCAAGGGGATGGTTCTTGGAGCAAACACCAGCGAGTTTTACAACGTGGGAAGGTATCTATAATGCTTTCATTTCTAAGTATTACACACCCACAATGACTCAAGAGCTAAGGCAACGAATCTTCAACTTCAAACAACAAGTTGGAGAACTATATCAAGATGCATGGAGGCGTTTCAAAACCTTGTTGAAGGAATGCCCATACCACCGCATTCCCCTAGATCTTCAAATTGACACTTCTACAATGGTTTGAACTCTTCATGCCAAGCCATTGTAGATAACTGTGCGGAGGGGTATATTGGCAACAAAACTGAAACAGAGGCATTAAGGATCCTCGAATCCATTGCTTCAAACCCTCAATTACAAGGAGGAGATATCAAAGTAGCTGGTGTGAGTGAAGTGTCTATAGCTCATGAATTGGACAAACGGTTTGCTGATTTTCAACAAGCCATGCACAAAGATCTTCTAGCTTCAATTCACACGGCTCTACAAGCCGTGATCGGAGGGGCTAATCAAGTGGCCAATGTGGAGAGTATATCACATCCAGAAGGTAATTCACCTCAAACTATTGAAGATGTGAATTATATGAATTCATATGGGAATAGGGGGAATCAAGGAGGCAACAACTATTCCAACAATCAACAAAGGTTTAACCAAGGTAATTCTTGAAAACCACAATGATGTCCGTCTAACCCCCCGTCTGGATTTTCACAAGGGCAAACCATGGAGGAAATGATGAAAACCCTCACTCAAAATGTTGTGGCTAGTGTAAAGGCCCAAAATGAGGAGAATCATAGTAGAGTGGAGGCATCCATTGGGAATCTCCATTCACAATTCACAAAGCTTGACCTCCGGTTTGAAGATCAAAACCAGAAACTTCACCAATGCATGGACAACATAGAACAATACACCAAGTCATCTATTCACAACTTGGAGGTACAAATTGGGCAAATTGCCCAAGGAAAAAGCACTAGAGAGCAAGGGCCCACAACAATGGAAGTCAACCCAAAAGAAAATGTCATGGTCATAACAACAAGAAGTGGCAAACAAACGGAGGATCCTAAATCGCCGGAGAATGCACCAATATCACAAGAGAAGGAAGAGTTGGAGGAACATATATCACCACCTCCAACAATGGCAAATTATGTTCCTCCTATCCCATATCCACAAAGGTTGAGGAAGAAGGATGATGGTAAACAATACAAGAAGTTTCTTGATATTTTTACCAAGCTAAGCATCAACATACCATTCGCGGAGGCTATTGCGGAAATTCCTTCTTATGTCAAATTTCTAAAGGGGATTCTCTCAAACAAGAAGAAACTAGCGGAATTTGCAACCGTGGCACTAATAGAGGAGTGTAGTGCAATCCTTCAAAATAAGCTTCCTCCAAAATTGAAGGATCCCGGAAGCTTCACCGTCCCATGTTCTATTGGCAAAATTGGAGAGGTAAAATCTCTTTGTGATCTCGGAGCTAGTATAAATCTTATGCCTCATTCTCTGTTTAAAAAGCTTGGTGTGGGGGAACTTCAGTCTACAACGGTCGCCCTACAATTAGCGGATAGAACAATCCGCTATCCAGTAGGCATCATGGAGGATGTTCTTGTCAAAGTTGGAAAATTCTATTTCCCGGTAGATTTTCTTGTTTTGGACATGGAAGAGATGGAGATCCCTGTCATCCTTGGGAGATCATTTTTGGCCACCTCTGCAGCCGTCATTGATGTACAAGCGGGCACGGTAAAGCTAAGAGTGGGAGGAGATGATGAAACATTCCATATATGGAAGACACGATCCACTCCAACTCAAAACATGAAGGACAACACAAACCGTTTCACACCTCCCAAGGCTATAAACATCATGGACATCAAGAAGGCATAAATATTTGGGCCTGAGGATCCTCCAACACACCCCGAAGACGTACTCGAGATCACACCGATGAACAACGAAGTTCTCCCGAAACTCTACCCCATGAAAGGAGCCACAATGATCAAGTTCTACCGGAGAAAAGCATCACATCCACCGCCTTAAAAGAGGTACGTTCGTCCGGCCTATGACGTTAAACTAAGCGCTAATTGGGAGGCAACCCAACACAAAAAAAAATCAAAAAAAATCAAAAAAAAATCAAAAAAGAAAAAAGAAAAAAAAAATAAACAAAAAAAATCATCGATCTCAGCTCAAGTATCATGCATTTTCTTCTCTCAAATACATCTCATTCCACTATTGAAGATTTCATCTTGCATTACATTCTCCAATCTACATTGAGGACAATGTAAATCAAGTGTGGGGGGTGAATAATTAGTTGAGAAACTTTTCTTTGCAAATTAAATTTTTTCTAGGAAGGTTAAATTTTTTGATATTCTCTCTTTTAAGGGTTTTGGTTGAGAAAGATTTTCTTTTACTCACAAAAATGTATTTTTAGATTAATTAAAATATTTATTAATCTTGAAACCACCACTTTCACTCAAATTTGTGACAATGTTCCAAATCCATACAAATGTGCATAGAGTGCAAATTCAAAATAAAAGTTTCATCCCAACTCCAAATCACTCTATTGTCGGATTCTCCTCATTTCTGACAATCTAGATATATGATTACGGAGAACAAAAAAAAAGAGTTTATATACAAAAGCAAAAAAAACCCATGTTCTCCTAGAATAGCCTTCTCTACAAAATCAAGTTGTCAGTCTACAAGAAAAAAAAAACACCGACATACCCACACATTGCCTAAATTGTCACAAAATAAACCCATCAAGTGTTTAAATATTTTTCTTAATCTTAAATACATTTATTGTGAGTAATAGAAAAAGGTTTTTGACATCGAGAAAGATTAAAGAGTTTATATCTAATTTTTAACATCTTATTAAACTTTTAATTTGCATGGTTTAGTTTCTTTTCTAATTATGCATCAATACAAAGAAATTGCTTGAGGACAAGCAATGCTCAAGTGTGGGGGAATTTGATAAGCACAATAATTACTTATGTTTTACATAAGTGATTATAATTATCTGTACAAAAATTAAAGCAAAAACAGGTAAATATTCCCGAATGAGCGGAAACATGCAATGCGCATTGGAACAGCAAAAATAGGGTCAAAAGCAAAAAAGAGTCGAAAACCGGCACTTCTGGATAAATTTCGGGCTTCAAAAGAGAAAAAAGAAGCTAAGTACACATTTGGGCGCAGGAACCGGCGCCGGTCATCCTACATCCGGCGCCGGTCATTTGTTTTTTTCCCCAAAAGTGCCTGTTTCCAACCGGCGCGGAGCGACCGGTGCATTTTTGCACACGACCGGCGCCGGACACCTTATAACCGGCGCCGGTTGTCCCGATTTCTGCTACAAACATAGCTACGTGCAAAAGATTTCTTGATGGGAAACTTCATCTTCTCCATATTTGATCAGATATCTCCTCCACACCTGCTTGTTGGGCTTGAATAGACTAAAAGATGTCATTCTGTAGCCTATATAAAGCCCTCAATTCATCATACAAATACATTCCATTCCATAGATTAATTCTTAGCTTTTATATTTTTGTTCTTGGTATTTTCTTCAAGTTCTTGAGGAGGGAAGTTCATCCTCCGAAATCATTGGTGTTTAGGTATTATTTCCTTTGTAATTTCATGTTCCATTACATTTATTATGCTCACTAGGTGTTTGATAAAAGTTCTAAACCAATAAATTGTGATTTATCCTTTATATATTGATTGTTTATGACTATGGTGTACAACATAGAAGTATGTTAAATTTAGTTTATACTTGCAATTAACTTTGAAGTCTAAACTATGAACATTAAAGGATAAACATATATAGTACCGAGAATAGAAATATATCCGGTCTTATATGATACGGGTGTGATGTCTTGATATTCAATGGGATTTTCGGTAGATGAATGTAAGCCGTAAC